CTTTTTTCTTTTTGCTTATGTGGTGCTGAGGAATTGAACCCAGGGCCTCAGGCATGCAAGGCAAACACTCTACCACTGAGCCACCTTCCCAGCCCTACATCAACTTTTAAGTATGATATGCTTTCATTTTCTATAGAGAGAGTTTGTTGTCTTGTGGGTTTTTTTGGTTGTTGTTGTTTTGCCAGTCATGGGGTTTGAACTCAGTGCCTGGGTGTTGTCCCTGAGATTTTATGCTCACTCACACCACTTGAGCCACAGTTCAAATTTTGGTATTCTGGTGGTTAATTGGAGATAAGTCTCTTATAAATTTTCCTGCTTGGGCTGGCTTTAAATGATGATCCTCAGATCTCAGTCTCCAGAATAGCTAGGATTATAAGTATGAGCTACTAATGCTTGGCTAGTGTTTTCTATTATTCCTTGAGATTTTTCTTTTTTTGCCCATGGGTTACTTAGAAATGTTATTTCCATAAGTTTTACAGGTTTTTCAACTTCTTCACTATATTAGATAATGTACCACATGCAGCTGAAAAGAATATGTATTCTTCTGTATTAGGTTGAATTTTCTATATTGTCTATTGGATTCAATTGATTATTGTGATGATATCATGTGGTTGCCAAAGATTTTCTAGGATCATATCTGTCACAAGGAGAAAGAACATGAAGAAAAATGCTTGGGAGGCTTTTATGACATCACTTCCAGTTAAATTTCATTGTTAGAACTCAGACACATGGCTTCATCTAATGGTATGGGAAGCTGGGATGTGTAGTCTTTTTGCCTGGGAAGAAGAGGAAAATGTATTTGGACAAACAGCAAGCAATCTCTTTCTATTCTCTGAAAGAGCTTGTATAAGATAAATACTTGAATCATGGGTATACAGTAGAAATTGTAGTTATTGGGGCCTGTTTTTCTTTGGGGGGAAATTTTGTAACTGCTGATTCAATTTAATGGATATACATGTTCCTTTAGGTTTTCTATTCCTTCTTAAGTTACTTTTTCTAAGTCACTTTTTAGGTATAGATCATTTTATATGAACTCTAAAATACTTTAGCATAAATTCACCGAAAGTATTTTCTTTTTTAATCTGTTAAATTTGCAATTATGGTCTTTCTCTCTCTTTAATATTATTTACTGATGCTTTCAGTTTTTTCTTTGATAATCCTGCTAGAAAATGTATCAATTCCAGTTGTCTTTATCATCTTCCTAACTTTGTGTAATGGAGAAGGGTACTAGAGATCAAACCTGCAGCTTGGCACATGCTAGACAAACACTCTATATCCTCCAACCCTCGATTCTTAATTTTTATTTCATTTTCTGTTCTTTATTATTTCTTTTTTCCCTTTTTTTTGGGGGGGGGTCCGGTCATGGGGCTTGAACTCTGGGCCTGGGCATTGTCCCTCAGCTCTTGAACTCAAGGCTAGCGCTCTTCTACCACTTGAGCCACAGCGCCACTTCCAGCTTTTTTCTTATGTGGTGCTGAGGAATTGAACCCAGGGCCTCAGGCATGCAAGGCAAGCACTCTACCACTGAGCCACCTTCCCAGCCCCTCTTTATTATTTCTTTACTCTCTTTCTTTGGTTTGGTTTTATGGGGAGGTGGTTTCAACTTGTATTTGAATGCCAAGCTCACTGTTTTATTATTTTTATTCTACTTGATACACTTAAAGCCATATAGGTCCCTGAAATTTGGCTCCAGCTATGTGTTGCTACACATATTTTTACATAATACTTTTGTCTAGTTCTGTGAGTTTTCTAATTTTCATTGGTTTATTATTTAATGAATGAGTTATTTACAGTGTGATTTCAAACTTCCACTAGCATGTGAGCTATTCTTAAAGTCTATCTTAGTTACTTAATTATTAACTTTAAGTAGTTTTTATTTTTATTTATTATTTTTTTTGGAGTCCGGTTGTGGGGCCTGAACTCTGGGCCTGGACGCTGTCCCTCAGCTCTTCAGCTCAAGGCTAGCGCTCTACCACTTGAGCCACAGCGCCACTTCCGGTTTTTTTCTTTTTGCTTATGTGGTGCTGAGGAATCGAATCCAGGGCCTCGAGCATGCAAGGCAAGCGCTCTACCACTGAGCCACCTTCCCAGCCCTTAAGTAGTTTTTAATTCAACATGTCAGTTTATAGTATAAAGCATCTTGATCAATGTCTTAGGTTACTAATTTAGAAATTAACTTTAGGGTTGGGAATGTAGCTTAGTGGTAGAGTGTTTGCCTAGCATGCATGAAGCCCTGGATTAGATTTCTCAGTACCACATAAATAGAAAAAGCTGGAAGTGGTGCTGTGGCTCAAGTGATAGTGTTAGCCTTGAGCAAAAGATGATCAGGGACAGTACCCAGACCCTGAGTTTAAGCCCCAGGACTAGGAAAAACATTAATTTTATTATTTTCAGAGAATGTGGCATATATAATAACAATTTTAATAAGACTTGAATCTTGCTTAATGACCCAGTATTTGTATTTGAAATTGGAGGTGCCTTCCCATTTATTTTGTTACTTGTTTTTTGAAACCTTTTCTTCTTACTGCAATTCAGTGAGATAGAATGATTCTTACTGTTCAAGTGAAAACAATTAAAATTCAAATATGAACATAATATATAACTTTTCCACATTCAGAAATCCAATTAGGCTTATAGCCAATCAAAACAGACTAAAAGAATAAATATGGTCAGCTTTGTGTGCTGTTTACACTTAATTTTATTATAGAATTTTTTAAACCTCAAGGTGAGAAATAATTCTTATTTAAATAGTTTTTGGATTTTCTTTGCTGCTCTACACAGTGCTTCCCAGCTATTGCTGTTCAGCAGATTTTGTTCAATTGAGCAAAGTATTTATAAACAGCATAAATCTAAGAATGAAATCTGGCAAGATGCAAAGAGAATAAATACTCAAAAAATACAGACATATGTATCTACATAGGCTAAGGAAGAGGGATAAACAAAATAAAAGTATAGACAAGAGAAACAGGAAGGAATCCAAGTAAATTTAAGTTATAAAACAAGACAGAGAGAGAGTTAATAGTGACCTTTTCATTATCATAAGTGAAGTTATTGGAAGGTATAAGAAATCATTTTTAATGTATTTTTGACACAGTGAAACTGGTCTACACTGAATACATTATAAGGTGTCTGCAAGCAGAGGATGATTTTTGTTTGTTCTCAGATGAGTCATAACCAGCCAGGTGTGGTGATGGAGAGCTGTCATAGTAGCTCTTGGCAGTGTGAGGCATGGGGATTGTGAAGTGAAGGCCAGCCAGTCACTACCAGGCTTAAATGCTGGTTAATGTCTAATCATATAATTGAGGTCTATTATGTAAGATATATCTCAGGTGTCATCTCTAGAAAGCCATTTCTGTACTGAGTCAGATTGCCTCTCTTGTCTTATATAAACAAGAAACTATCATAGCATTTAAAATAGTTCAAGAAAGATGTCCATTTAAGCATCCCCTTCCAAATTCCATGATTCTATAACTCAGGGCACTGTCCCTGAGCAATTTTGCTCAAAGCGAGTGCTCTACCACTTTTGATCCACAGCTTCCCCTCCAGTTTTCTGGTGGTAATTGGAGATAAGGGTTTCACAGTGACTTTTCAGGTCAGGATGGCTTTCAATTGTGATCCTCAGATCTCAGCCTCCTGAGCAGCTAGGATTACAGGTGTGAGCCATCAATGCCTGATTTGAACTCAGAGCTATAAGCTTATGAGGCAGGTACTCTATTAGCTACTCGATTTTTTTGCTACTAGATTTTGTAGGGTTTGCAATTTTTTTTCCTGGGACAGCTTTATACTGTGATCCTCCTATTTATAATCCTTCCATGTAGCTCAAATAACAGCCATACTTCACCATTCCCAGCTTATCTATTGAGATAGAGTCTCATTAATAGCTTTTCCTGAATATCTTTGAACTATAATCCTCCTGATTTCTATCCCCAAAGAGGTGGGACTTAGCTGTAAGCTTGACTTGTGTTTTCTTTCAGTATTCAGGAGTGGAGTTATTGAACATAAATTTATGGAACTTGCTTTTTTCTTTTTTTAATTAATTAATTAATTATTTTTTTGGGTCCGGTCATGGGGCCGGAACTCTGGACCTGGGCACTGTCCCTCAGCAATTCAGCTCAAGGCTAGCACTCTACCACTTGAGCCACAGAGCCACTTCCGGCTTTTTTCTTTTTGCTTATGTGGTGCTGAGGAATCGAACTCAGGCCCTCATGCATGCAAGGCAAGCGCTCTACCACTGAACCACCTTCCCAGCCCTTTTAATTTATTTTTTAAAGTCACAAACATCTTTTGATCTTCACAATGAGAGTCATCATTAGGAACTTGCTTTTTTTCACAGAACATGTATGTTTCAATCTATTCACAGTGACTGACAGAGTCTAGTTCATTAAGTGTTGAGCCAAATGAAGTTTCACTGAATAGCCATATATAAGCAGCACCTAAATCAAGACACAGCATTGTCATCATTTCAGAACTCTCTTTCATGTCTATATTAGATTTTTCACATTCTTTTTTAATATATATTTTTACTGTAAAGATACTGTACAGAGGGGTTACGGTTACATAAGTAAGGTAATGAGTACATTTCCTGTTGAGCCTTGTTATATATTCTTTTTGTTTTCCCCTTTGATTTTCTCCTACTATCCCTTCCCTCTCTACCTCCCCAACTCCTCCCTTCACCCCATATTTTTTTATACCTGCCTGTTTTTGTCCAACATTGTATGTGAAATCACTATGTTGTGCATAGTTATAGTTTATTCTTTCCCATTGCTGGGGATAGTTTGTTTTAATTCAACTTTATTCAACTGTTAAAAGGTTTGGGGCAGTTCCTAGTCTGTGGGTTCTCTTGTACTGCTGCTATAAGTACTCTTATATGCTTTTCATTTGGGAATGTGCCTAAGAGTTACATCTGTATGTTAAGCTTTATTAACAGTAATAAACAGATTTGCAAATTATTTTTACCAAATTATATTTCCGGCAGTGAGTGAGATTTCAGGTTACTCTGTCTTTGTCAACACTTTTACATTAGGAATTATATATAGTAGTTAGTAGTTATAATATCGTATTTTGGCTTAATTTGATGATTAATCTTTCATTCAGAATTTGGTTCAAAATTGGATTTGACTTTGATGATTAATAAAATTTTCATGCGCTTATTCAGTTAGATATGATCTTTCATGACATCCTAAGACTTTTTAAATCCCTTAACTGTTTTGCTAACAAAATATGAAAATATTTTCTTTTTTCTTTAATCAGCCTACAGAAGAAAAAAATCTTAGCAATATGTAAATTACTGTTCCTCCACTTGCCAATCATGAGACTTTGAGAAAGATATGTAATTACCATTTGCTTGATTTTTTTCTTACAAAGTGAAAAAACCATAGTGCTTAACTCAGAGATATTATGAGAATTCAGTTAATATATAGAAATCATTTTGAACAGTATCTGGGACATATAGTATTTGTTATACAAATGTAATATATTATTGTTGAGAAAAGTATAGATAACATAGATCAAGAAACAGAATTGAAGCTGGGTGCCAGTGGCTTACACCTGTAATCCTAGTTACTCAGGAGTCTGAGATCTGATGATCACAGTTCAAAGCCAGCCCAGGCAAGAAAGTCCATGAAATTCTTATCTCCAAGAAAGCCACCAGAAAACTGGAAATGGAGCTGTGGCTCAAGTGGTGGAGCACTCAACTTGGGCTGAAGAGCTTAGGGAGAGTGCCCAGGCCCAGAATTCAAGCCCCAGTACTGACCAAAAAGAAAAAGAAAGAAAGAAAGAGAGGGGAGGTAGGGAGAAAGAGAGAGTGAGAAAGAAGGAAGGAAAGAAAGAAAGAAGGAAAGAAAGGAAAAAGAAAAGAAAGAAAGAAAGAGGGAAGGAGGGAGGGAGGAAAAGAAGGAAGGGAGAGAAGGTAAAGGAAGGAAGGAGAACTTGATATATACATCACACCTAATACAAAAATTTATTCAAAATTAGTCACAAATGAGCCTTAAGCCAAGTCTATAACACTTTTACAGAAAAATATAGGAAGAAATTGATGACCTAAGTTATTCAGAGTTCTTAGAACTTATAAGCACAACTCATGAAAGAACAAATTGGTTATTTCCAAAACAAAAACGTTAATAGAATGTCAGGGAGGGGCTGGAAAGTTGGCTCAGTGGTAGAGTGTTTGCCTCCCATGCATGAAGCCCTGGGTTCCATTCCTCAGCACCACATAAACAGAAAAAAAGCCGGAAGAGGCACTGTGGCTCAAGTGGTAGGGGCTAGACACTACCCAGGCCTAGAGTTCAGCCCCACAACTGACCAAAAGAAAAAAGAAAAACAAATGTCAGGGAAAAACAAAAAGAATGTCAGGGGCTGGTGATTGTGGCTCACACCTGTAATCCTAGCTACTCAGGAGGCTAAGATCTGAGGACCGGGTTCAAAGCAAGCCCGGCAGGAAAGTCCATGAAACTCTTATCTCCAATAAACCACCAGAAAACCGGAAGTGGTGTTGTAGCTCAAGTGGTAGAGTGTTAGCCTTGAGGGACAACGCTCAGGCTCAGAGTTCAAGCCCCACAACCGCCAAAAAAAAAAAGAAGGGGCTGGGAAGGTGGCTCAGTGGTAGAGTGCTTGCCTTGCATGCATGAGGCCCTGGGTTTAATTCCTCAGCACCACATAAGCAGAAAAGGCCAGAAGTGGCGCTCTTGCTCAAATGGTAGAGTGCTAGCCTTGAGGTGAAGAGCTGAGGGACAGCGCCCAGGCCCAGAGTTCAGGCCCCACTACCAAAAAAAGAAAAAAGAAAAGAAAAAGAAAGCATATCAGGGACCTGAGGCAGACAGATTGTGAGTTTGAAGCCAGAATAGGTACTATAAGATGGCTAACCGTCCACATCTATTAGAATGGCTCCAATGAACTTGCAGTTTCAAGTAGTGATGATGATTCAGATCAGCAGGAACTACTGCTACAACCAGTTTAGAAAGCAGTTTGGCAATTATAAATTTGAATATATTCTTACTACATGAACCCAGTGATATAAGAAATGGTGTTTAAAAAAAGTACCTCTTTGCTAGTGTGTAGTAACTTTATTCCTAATCACTTTGAACTGGAAACAACACAGTTGTCTTTCATCTAGGAAAAACAAACAAAACAGCAGAATAAGTTATAATAAAAATAGAGTATTACTCGGCAACAAAAAAGAAACAAGCTATTGATATACTCACCAACAATGGTGAAACTCAAATATATTATGTGAAAAGCAGGCTCAAAAGACTGTATGATTCCATTTATATGACATTTTGGAAAATTATCAGTGGTTACCAGCAGCTAGTACATGACCCCAAAGAGGCAGTATGAAGAAATTTCAGGGAGAAGAATGATAGAACTGCTTTGTGACCTGGTTATAGAGGTGGTTTAACACTCTTTGTCTTTGTCAAAATAGATGAAACTTCATACCAAAAATTGTGAATGTTCCTACACTTAAATTGAAAACTTTTAGCATTAGACAAATCTTAGGCCATACTTTTTTTTTTTGATGGTACTAGGGTTTGAACTTAAGGCCTCTCATCAGCTTGCTTGCTGATCCAGCATTCAACTATTTGAGACATACTCCTAGCCCTTCCATTGTGCTTTTCATGTTTTTCTAGTCTCTATTTTTTCTTTTGGAACTCCTTTAGTTTTTATTGTCTATTCTTTAAACATTCCCTTGTTTCATAATTTATTGTATGTTTCATTTCTTTATGAAATTGAGTTTCTCAATACCATCCTTTAATTTTATAATTCTGTGTTCAAAGAAGAATTTTTTCTAGTTTTGAATTTTTGAAGTTTTCATTTCTAAGATTCCTCATTCATCCTATAGGCTTCCCAATTTCCATATTTATGATATGCTAGTATTTTATATTACTTTAGTTTTTGACATGATCTTTCTTTCATACATACTAAAGTAGATGTAAAACTTTCAAAGGTTTATGGGCTGGGAAGGTGGCTCAGTGGTAGAGCGCTTGCCTTGCATGCATGAGGCCCTGGGTTTGATTCATCAGCACCACATAAGCAAAAAGAAAAAAGCTGGAGGTGGCACTTTGGCTCAAGTGGTAGAGCGCTAGCCTTGAGCTGAAGAGCTGAGGGACAGCGTCCAGGCCCAGAGTTCAGGCTACACGACCGGACCCCCCCCCCAAAAAAAAAAAAACTTCCAAAGGTTTATAGGATCTAAAAGATTTCTGACAGTTACTGTTACTTTTTATTTGCCTCTTTATAGTGATTGATAATACAAATGTTAAAATGAAAAGGTTTGTCAGAGTTCTACAAGAAAAGATATTAGAGACATACCAAAAACTCATAGCTAGCCTGGGATGGGAGAAAAAGATTAAGAAGGAGGTACAGATGTATTAAAACAAACAAAACCTTGGTTTCAAATCTGCCAGAAGGGTTAAAAAATGTGCCCTGGAGGCCCTATGTCATTTTCTAGCTCAGTGTTTTCAAGCTCATTAGAACTGCACAAGAGTAGAATTCAAATCTCCTAATCTTCCACTCAGTCTAAGCTCTAAACTATGTTACATTATTTGAAGTATTGTATTATTTGTTTTTATCTAGAGAATGAAGATACATGCATGAAATAATCTTTGATTTATTTGTATAGGTTTTTTTTACCACTTAACCTATTTTCTGGCTGCTGGTGCTGTTAGTTTAGGAATTGGTTTCTTCGCTTTGGCATCAGCTTTGTGGTTCCTGATTTGCAAAAGAAGGTAAGGTTTATTAGATATTTTGCTTAATGTTTGTTTTTTTTTTTCTAGTCCTAGGGCTTGAACTTTGGGCCTGAGCTCCTCTTTGCTCAAGGCTAACTAACATTCTACCAGTTGAGTCATAGCACCACATCTGGATTTTTCTGTGATTAATTGGAGATAGAGTCTCTTGAATTTTCCTGCCCTGGCTGGTTATGAACTACAATCCTCAGATCTCAGTCTCCTGAGTAGCTAAGATTACAGGTGTGAGCCACCGGCAACCAATTTGCTTAACTATTTTTTAACAGAGCTTCAGTGAAGTTCTTTCTCAAATAGTGTTAAACAAGGTGGGGGCAGTATGGGAAGGGATAGGAAGGGGAAACAAAGAGGAGGCAACAATGCTTGATAAGAAATGTACTTGTTATCTTGCCCATGTAATTGTAACTCCTCTGTACGGTATTCTCACAATAAAAAATAAATAAATAGCTGTAATAAATAAAACATAAATAGCTGTAATTGTAATGATTCTGTAGTATGGAATTTAATTGTACACCCTTTGGTTGGGAAGGGAAGGCTTCATGTGTTTTAAACAGCTTGCAACAAGTACTATAATAATACAAAGCAATCTACATAGACCCTCTGTGTGTGTGTGTGTGTGTGTGTGTGTGTGTGTGTGTGTGTGACTGGGGTGTAAGCTCAGGGCTTTATGCTTGCTAGGCAGATGCAACTTGAATCATGTGTCCAGCCCTTTTTGTTTAGTTATTTTTCAGGGAAAGTCGTGCTTTTCTTGCTTAGTCTAGCCTGGATTGAATGCGCGCACGCGGGCGTGTGTAAAACCAACTCAGTCAAGAACCTTTTCATCACCTATCAATGGTTCCTCATTCTCCTTTCCAGATGTTCATTTCTATTTCCTTTCTCAGAGGCAACTGTTGTACTGATTTCTATCATTGTAAATTAATTTTTTCCGTTCTTGAATTTAAGTGGAATTGTGTGGTCTGTTTTGTATCTGCTCATTTCACTTTATAATATTTAGTTAGGTTGCATTTTATTCATAGTTTGTTGGTTTTACTGATGAATAGTATTCCATTGTATAAATGAATATACCTTGATTTATCATCACTTGGAGCCATTTCCAGTTTTTAACTTTTAGGAGAATGGCTCCCATGAATTTTCTTTAGATTTATAAAAAAAATGGAAAAAATAGAAAATATATTTATGGAAACTATTTTCTTCTCTGGAGTAAATACCTAAGAGTTGAATTGTGAGATCATATACTACTAACTTTATAAGAAGTTGTTCAACAGTTTCCCAAAGTAAATGTATACTTCCAATATCAATGTATGACAGTTTTGATTTTTATATCTTTTTAAAATGTTTCCTATCTGTGAAGCCTGAACTTTGATGGTGCAAGAATGAAAGCAGAGAAACAAGTTAGGAGGCTATTTAGTCCATGTGAGAGATGATGGTATCTTAAGCTAATATGAACATAGTTATAAAGGAAGATTCAGATCATGGATGTGTTTTACAGGTAGAATCAGGACTTGTTGATAGATTGAATCAAGGTGTGCTGACACCTAATGCTTATCATGAACAGCTAAGAAAATAGTTTGTCCATTTTGTGAGATAAGGAGGTAACCATAAAGGAGATCAGTTTGGGGAAGTGGGGATAACCTATGAGTTGTGTTCTGGATATAACTTTGAAAGCCTATCAGACATCAAAGTGGGAATGTCTAACAGACAGATGGAACTACTCATGAGAGTAGTCAGGATAAATCTCACAAGAGAAGCCAGGCTTGAAGACTTTATAAAAACAGAGCATCAAAAGTCACAGATGAGACTAATCAGGGAGGTTGTTGAAAGAAGTGATATATGACTGTATCCTTCCTGATAGTCACATTTAGTAATCTAACAGAAGAATAGGAAGAATCAGCAATATTGAAGAAGAAAGAAAAGCAGAAAGATGTGGTGTCAAGGATGTAAAAAAAATTTTAAAAAAAACTCACAAGGAGGATTGTGTTGAGGGCACTAAAGTTGAGAAAGAAGATAGATGAATTACTTTTTTCATGGAAGTCATTAGTGATTTCTATGAAATTTTAGTGGAGTAATAGGTTCGGAAGCTCATCTTTTAGGAGAACACAAGATGAGAGAAAGCGAAACAATATAGACATCTCAAGAAATTTTGTTTGGTAGTTGGTGAGAAGTTGGTAAAGATGACAGTAGCTGACTTTAGAGTCAAAGGGGTTTTCCTATTCTAAAGAATGAAATACATTCTTGATAACACTCTTGCCTAGCCCCACTATATTTGAACCATCATCAAGTACTGGTTTTTTTACCTCATAATTCACTCACATCTACTGAGTTTTCTTTCTTTCTTTTTTTTGGTCCAGTCGTGGGGCCTGAACTCTGGGCCTGGACGCTGTCCCTCAGCTCTTCAGCTCAAGGCTAGCGCTCTACCACTTGAGCCACAGCGCCACTTCCGGCTTTTTTCTTTTTGCTTATG